TTTTGCTTTTACTTTGCAGCCTCAGAATAATCTCCTCGAAATTCGTCGCCTATAAGAAGCCCTAGCGACTAATACTAAACTAATAGTAGGGCCTTCCTCTCTATCTGTTTTAGTCTAAAAGAAGGATGCTAAACTTAAGGACTATACTGTATTTAATAGCTCTAGTCGGAAACAATACAACGACTACATCCGTAACTACGAGCTTAACTAGCGAAACGCGCTAAGGGCCCTTCTAGACGACTACTCGTTAGTCGTCTATACTATATAATATATTAATAGAGACCTAAAGCGCACCTAGGATAACTATTTCGACTCCCTTACTAATTAGACCGCTATTTAGTAGTAAGACTACAAGACTATTATACTAGACACCCTTAGAAACCCTATACTAAGGCAATAATACGCTTAGGACTAATACCTTCGAGCTAAACAAAAGACTAATCAATCGGCTCGCTTATTTAAGGCCTATTTAAAGACCCTCGAGGACGATTTACTAGCTAAGACCGACTCTATCTAGATCTCCGAAATACGCCCTAAATTGCGATAGGAATTGGTCCTTAAATTAGACCGCCGTCGTGTGTTCGAATAGGCCAACCTAATACGCATTCAATTTATAGTCGAAGTAGAAACAGCCGAGCGGGCTATTTAGCTCTAGTAACGACTAGAGTCGAGGATCCGACTAGCTAGTACTAACCGCGGCAATCGTAGTGCCTACGGAGGCAATAGCTAAGGGTCCTACTAAAACAACAATACTAACAATAGAAACAGTAATAGCGACCGTAGAAGAGGCCGTAGCCGGCGGCTATATAGAGGAGGCCGCGATAGGGGCCGTAGAAGGGGCTCGTATCCCTATAATACTAACCGCTCGACTAACAATAGCAGTAATAATAGCTACGGCAGTCTACTAACCGGATTGAAGTGCTTTAATTGTAATAGTACTAGCTATCTACTAGGCTAATGCGACAAACCTAAGGACTAGGCCCGAATCGACCGTACTACCGCTAAGTACCGAAAGCACCTCTTAGCAGCTAACGCTACCCCTATAGGCTAACCTTCGAAAAAAGAGTAAGCGCCGCACTAACTGTTAGCCTCGTACGGCGTAAGACTATCGACATTGTACTAGCTATTATACGTACCTGTCTTATATCTAGGCCCGATACTAACTATAAGGCAAAGGTTATACTAGACCTCGGAAATTCAGTTAGCGCCCTTATTAGCTATCGCCTAGCTAAGCAATTAGACCTTCGACAACTACCGAGGACTAACCTGCCAACCCTTGCTTAGTTTAATAACGCTCGGCACTTAACCTATAGAGCCTACTATATTCCTATAGTTCTAAAAGACGACCTCGGAAATAAACGCCTACTAAACTTTACTACCTACGCGGTAGACATAGACAGCCTCCTATCCGATATTGTTATTAGCAACCCTATTCTTAAGTACTATGCTATAGTTATAGACTTAGGCAGTTAATAATAGCGATTTAGAATCGCTAGGAAAGAGGATATTAAACACATCGATATTAGCGAGTATCCTAATAATATTAGGGTCCTATTTATTAGCAACCTAACCCCCGCCTTAGCTAATCGAACTACCGACCTGCTCGGTAGTAATAACGATAAACCTGTGCCCCCTAATAATCCTAATTAGCTTGCTCGTATACTAGAGCCTATCCGAGAGACCTATATTAATGTGTTTAAATACTACCTAGCGTCGACATTGCCTATGTTTAAAGAGACGGATTATAAGATTAACATTATAGAGGGCAAGGAGGTTCCTTTTAGCCCCCTCTACAACCTTAGTAAACGAGAGCTTGCTATATTGCGTAAGTACCTAGAGGAAAACCTAGCTAATAGTCGCATTCGGTATAGTAATAGCCCTACTAGCGCCCCTATCCTGTTTGTACTAAAGAAGGATAGTAGCCTACGCCTATATATTAATTATCGTAGGCTTAATGCTATTACTATCAAAGACCGCTATCTACTTCCGCTTATTAATAAGACCCTCGATCGCCTTTCTAGTGCTTACTTCTATACTATACTAGACATTAAGGATGCGTACTATCGTATCCGTATTCGTAAGGGCGACGAATAGAAAACGGCCTTCTATACTCGCTATAGCTATTTCGAGTACTTAGTTATGCTATTCGGCTTAGCTAATGCCCCTGCAACATTCTAGTCCTATATTAATCGAGCCCTTTTAGGTCTATTAGACTACCTCTATATAGTTTACCTAGATAACATCCTAGTTTATATACACTCCCCTAACATTGCGGAGTACTAGGCTATAGTCCGTAAGGTGCTCGATCGCCTACGAGCCTATAGCTTATATTGCAAGCCTTCTAAATATACCTTTACTACTAAAGAGGTGTTATTCCTCGGCTTCCTCGTATTAACTAAGGGTGTTAAGGCTAATCCTAATCGAATTAAGACTATTACTAAATAGCCAACACCTACTAGTATTAAAGAGCTTTAATTATTCCTAGGTTTTACTAACTTCTACCGTCGATTTATCGAAGGTTACTCGCGGCACGTAATGCTACTAACTGAACTTACTAAAACTAAGGCCAACCTAACTAGAGAGTTTAAATAGACTAATAGAGTACAAGCCGCTTTTAACGGTCTAAAGAAGCGCTTTACTAAAGTCCCCTTATTGCACTATTTCGTACTAAGTAAACAGATCCGTATTGAGACTAACGCTTCCTAGTTCGCTATATTAGCTATTATATTACAATAGGCTAATAACAATTATTAGCACCTAATCGCCTTCTTTTTATAGAAGATAATCGATATAGAACGTCGATACAAAACCTACGAGCAAGAGCTCCTAGCAATCGTAGAAGCCTTTAAGTACTAGCGCTACTATCTTAATAGTATATAGTACACTATTTAGGTCTATACGGACTATAACAACCTACGTAGGATTACGAAGGTTACTAGGGTTATAGGTCGATAGGCTAGATAGGCCGTCTACCTCGCCGGGTTCGATTTTAATATATTATATCGGCTAGGCGTAAGCAACCCTACTAATAGCCTATCGAGGCGACCTAATTACGATA